TCAGTATCATCAAAATCATTTCTTTGAGGCTCTTCGCCTCGGGCCTTCAACCCATTTCATGCCATCTCTTTCTTTACTCTTTATCCTTTACCTTCATTTACGAAAGAAAGTGTGACGTAGTGAATTGATACGTTTGAATAAGTGCGTCGCGAAGACATTATCTAAAGTTCGCGGAAATTCGCGTATTGGTCTATTCGTAACAAGTGAAGAATTAGTCCGCAACCGAAAATACAGGAAGTGCAAAATAGTAGTCAAGCCTGGAATCGTCAAGTCGTCACCAGAATGGACCTCGAGTGTCGAAAGATGTACTGGACCAATGAACAATACAAATGGACAAGAGAAAGGCAGACGAAGATCCTGGGGTAAGTGATCTTTTTCTTTTTTCCTTTTTTTTTCTACTCACCATAAACATTTATGTAAGCGGCCATGCTGAAAGCCATAAATTTGCTATACTCAGCGGATACCGGAAGTATAGCATAGATCTGACTTATATTTGTGCGAGATTTTGGTGATGCATTCCGAAAGTGTTCCCATGCTGCGCGGTAGTGTCTGACTATATTTCCAGCTATTCTTGTTTCCGAGTGATCAACCGCAGATTCCGCTGTGTACTAAATAATTTTTCCTCGTCCACGCGAGTCTTCTGGATTTTGCCAATTCCGCGTTTATAGCGCACCGACGAGAGAAGAACACTGTAGACTCTCTATTAAAATACATATTTACATATAATACATATTATATTAACATTACAAACATGGAGATGCTACACGGATGTCAGGTCCAGCATCGCACTTTTTTAAAATCTTTTGAAAATGATTCAACAATAGGCTTTTTCAATAGTCCTAATAATCAAGGTTAGAAGTACGACAATAGATGGCGATGTACCTTGCGAGACGGGCCTTATTCAACTCAGCGTGAGGGGACCTACAAAGTTTATACACCGAATCCGAACAGTGTTGGGCGAAATCCGTATAAATACTCATTTAAGTTTTCATATGAAAACCCATTGGTAATGCCGCTGGAAGCTGGGCACGAACCTCCAATCTTTCGGTCGTGACCGCTACCCTATCCACTGGGCTACGGCCGCCCTTATCTGATGAGCTGTCTCGTTCTAAGTGTTGCTTTGGGAACCAGCGATAAGTACCGGAGGACTCTGCCCTGTAAGCTACACGTTCGTGATCGTGGTTAGCTCGGCTACGACGGGATCCGCATTATCGACGGAGACTATGATTACATAACTCGACTTCCGGATTCGCCGCTGGGATTCAGCGCCATGCTTTTGGTGTTGCCTAAAACCGTAGCGTTGTGCATCTCTCTACTCATCTCTGGATTCAAACCGGTTGCCTGTACTTGGCGCGAGACTCGGCCGAGTCTCTTGATTAACAAGTTTGTTCTTCTACTTCAGATGACTAAGGCGGCCGCAATCAACACACCCGATTCGAAATGTGCTTCGCGACATGATCTGTGTATAATTGTTCCTTATAAAAATTGTTATATTTAGTTTAAACATTAATAAGTACGTATACAAAACACCAACTTTTTAGGGTTAATACTTTGTCTTCAAGTTATTGTCAAAAGTCATATCACAAACGGGTGTCTAGATCAGAATACCCCTTAAAGATGAAAACAATAATTATGAAATTTATTTTTTTCTTGCAAAATTGGTTAATCAAAATTTTACATTTTTTCGTATAAAGTTCACTATTGATATTTCGCTTTAAGACTGTCAGAAAGTGCTATATATGCTTCTTTGGCAGCATCCTTTGAAGTTCCTTTCTTGCTGCTCCATGCATCCCATTTTGCTTTGCCCATCGGATCGAGTATACCCGGCTTCTCTGCAAGTTAATAGAATTGCATGAAAACCAATCGTGTTTATTCTCCAAATTGTAAACTTACCATTTAATTATAAATGAATCGAAAAAAATATACATTTTTATATTCGTTACAATCATCCTGAAAATTAATCCACTCGTAGTAAAATTTCTCATTGCCGATTGTTTTTGCCAAAAATAATGAATAATTTTCCATTGATTTCCATTAATTTACAGCACATTACAGAAGCAATAGCAATGCAAAATTTTACTACAGGCAACTCATCTACATATAATCGGTCCACGAGTTCGATGCGTTTTTTGACAGCTCAAAAACAATGTCTCTAGCAATGCATATACGTTTCACTGCATAAAATGTTTCTTATAAAGTCTGCATATGCATGACTTTGTACTAAAGATATTTTATTTTTCCATTTTAACATATATTTACGTTATTCTAGAGAAAACCACGTGTGAGTTCTAAGGATTGCATGCCATGTAATCTGTCAAAAAATACATTGAAGTCGTGGACCGACTATAGGATATGTATAGGACGTAGGACGCATCATGTCACCCATCCACTGTTCTTTGTACGGGTTATTTACAACAAACACAAATATCTGTAGTTAGTCTATCGATTTGATTTCTATAGTAGAACCACCTTCAGGTAATGCATAGTGAATCAATGGAAATCAAAGTAAAATCATTTATTACTTTTGGCAAAAAATCATTGGCAATGGAAAAATTTAACTACGGATACACTTGAAAACAACTAAAACCCGCATTCTCGAACAGTTCTTCATAAATATCGAATACGACCATTCAATACTCTTCAAATGAAAAATTACACGCGAGGATCACTGGGGCAGACTCCAAAATGGAGGCCCGAGTTCCAAAGAATAATTGTTACTTCTCACGTCACAGCTACCAGATCCATGGTCCCATTAAATTTTGATAAACTCAAAGAGGTACTAAAGTGGATCCGGTCATCAAGCAACATATATATCAGTAATAGGCAGTTTAGTTACATTACTGTAGATTTTGCTATAGTCAAGGCACATACTGTTGTTTACCTTATAAACGTATTTGCACAGTGCTGCAACGATAGGACTCAATACTTCTACTAATTGTAATACTGAATAAATTCCTTGCCAAATGAATTTTTTATTTCTTCAATGTGTAGAGCCTAGACAATTAAAATCTACCACCTGAAGTTAGTCCGGATTATTCAAAACTACGTTTAACATATCCAGTAAGGTGTATGAATCAAAGAAATGTACAACTGCTGGAAATCGTATTAAAAGTAATTCAGAATCTTTTTCGGATATAAGTCTAGTAACTTACAAGTCATTTTACCGACGCTACAGTAGTACTATCGTTTCATCCTAAAAACTATTTGATTTATTAATTTTGTGTAATTTCTCAGTAAATTATTATCAAAAGCGAATGATTTAAGGCCTTCCTTACCCGTGTTAACGTCGCCAACAGTCGCTTGTTTGTAAAGTGCATAGATTTCCAAGAGTTCCTCGTCGGTTGGTCGTTTAGTTAAATTTTTCACACCTGAGGCGGCTGCTTCAAATGTCTATAACAATAACAGAGTCGATCGCAAATTTAATTAATCGTTATTAAAAATTGAATATAGATAAAAATAAGCAACGCTGGAGCATCCTTAATCTAATTGTGAAAACAAGACGGATCAAGATGGAAGAATATACGATGGTCAATGTAACAAACAAATATTTGCGGAACCAGTATATTAAAAATACAAAAATTTATCATTAGAACATAGAAGTTGAAAATAATCTAATATGTCGATTTTGATTGAAATATATTTTACAATTTCAGACCTCGAGGTAAAAATGTTTGATTTTGTAGGTTATAGGTCTGGAATAGGTCTTGCAGGTCTAGGTTGAATATAGATGTAGGTTCTGAGATACCGACGGCCCAGAAGAAGACCCAGAACAAGCGTGGCTGAGCTAAACTTCTACAAATTATTATTTTACCTTTGCATAGAACAAGTCTTACCGAGTTAGACTTTAGCAATCAGATATAGAGCAGTATGAAGATATACTAGTAAAGAGATGTCCTCTTTACTAGGACTTACACGGAACTTTGTGTTTTAACACTAGTGGGCACAGTGTATATAAGAAATATACTGGAACCAGCATACAAATTTTACATGAGGTTTAAAGTGTCATACAGTTCGTTTCAGATAGAAAATACAAACGGCCTGTGATCCTCTTTACCAACATCTGCTCAGTGAATACAGCAGTATCCTGCAGCTTATTTGAAACACTTCTATAGTTAATCCAGACATGTCCCTTTCTTGTGCGATACCTAAGTTGAACTGTGTATGAAATTATCTCGAAGTACATAGAAGAGGTCTAGAACCAGTATGGGTTCAGTTCCAAAAAAGTGAGTTTAACACTAGGACTTGAATAAAAACAAATTTAGTGTACGTGATATGTTATTAATGACTTAGTATAATTTATGATAAATTATTCTGAATCATACAGTACGATAGTTCGCACACAACATGCTAGGATTCAAAGTGCAAGGCGAACGTGTAGAGTTTATTAGCGTAAATAAATATGTAATCAATGCTTGTATCCGCGTTTGGCTCGACCTTTAGCATTTTGGTAAATAAAATGCGTTTCCGAATACGTAAATGAATATCTTGTGACATGTTGTGTCCGTCGAACTAGATAAACATTGAAGGAGTTGGAGAGAGGTTGTGAATCTGGTCCACCTAAGGGAAATTCTCAATGACGAAATGAATAATTAATAAAATTATTTTCCCCGACTGCCATAATAGCATCTTAGCTAAAGCTTTATGCAGCTTAAACATTAAATTATATTATTTTAAAATATAATTGTCAATTTGCAAACAAGTATATTTTGCTACATTTAGACGTCGTTTACGCTGATGCAATTCACAAAGGCTGCGTTCAGCAGAAAATTGCGCTAAGACAGCAATCGCATTAGATTGGTCAATTGAACGTAAATTTTGCAATGGTTGTACGATTTTACTAGTCAGATGTGTTTGTTCGTGCAGCGCTTTGTCTGCTGCACACAGCCAATGTATTTCAAGTAAGCAATATTTTTTAAAGAGAATGCTTTTGTATTTTATGGTTGAAACTTACATTGAAAAGCACGGAACATGCGAAGCATACATCTATGTATAAAATTAACATAACGTTTAGGCCAATTTGGTGATCTAACGAAATTGTTCAATACAGTTATTACGTATCACTTATTGGGTTAGGTTTGATAATATGCAGAATACCGTAGAAAGAAACTTCAATGTATATTAACTAATAATTCATTTGAGAAAACAACTGTTATTACTGTTTGTAATAATCAAATATAACGCATTATACGACGAAATCGGAAACTGCCGGACGACCTAACACTCTAAGGCCCATTCACACTTATTAGACTCTCTAATGAATGCAACTCTTGACCAATCACACAACGTGAATTCCTGTTAAAGCGCTGCATCATTGGTTAAGGTTCACGTCGGAACACGCGTTTGCCGATATAAATGTGAACGATAAACGCGTGTTCGAACGTGAACTGTTGATCAGTGGTACAACGAGTTCACAAGAATCTACGCCCTGCGATTGGTTGCAAGGTGCATTCGAACGCGCCTTTAACGAGTATGATTGGGCAGTTACTCTTATACCTTATTGGCTGTCAAGTAAGAATGTGGTCTGAGCCACGCTAGACAAGCGCAATTTTTGAAACAATCTCTATATTCTAGCATATATTATTTGATAACAATATAAGAATAACTATACATTTTTGAAGATGAGGAATCAAGGATTCCAATAAAACATTCAAAATGTTCATCCGTGCTTATAAAATGTGTTCAATGTCCTCTTACGTCGTAAATTTAGTCAAAAGATATTGTATATTTTACTTTTCGTCACGAAATAATGGAACATGTTATTTATCATTTTTACTCTGTCATTAGTTCATAAAAAAACTAATTCAATAAGAATTTTTTCAATATTCTACGAAATCGTATTATACAAAAATAAGCCTGCGTCACAATATCGAACACATCACAATAGACTCCCGTCTGCTAGGTTTAGTATAAACATTAATATTCATAACTTAGATTTTTATTAAAAATAGCCATCCTATCCATACCATATCTTATGCACCGATATATCGCGGGTCTAATGTCAGAAGGACATTTGCGCCAAAAAAGTCAGTATCACAGCAAGAGCACCACGTACCATCTACAGAATACGATCCAAAACCTCGTAAAAACGTATTCTACGAGGTCCTTTCGTCTTTTGATCGTTGGTAGTAACGTCGACGCAAAAAAAAAATATTCCCAGCGAGAAGGCACATGAACGAATTTTACGAAATATTCAAACAATTCGTCATACCTCAATTCCGCGTCCCTCAATTTTAAGAAAGTCTATTATTGGAAATCATTTATTGCAATATAAAATCATTAATTACCTTTGACAAACAGTCATTGGCAATGGAATATTATTCTTACGGGTGCTCGTCGATATATTCGTTTTTTTGTTTTCACATTGTTGGAACTGACAAATTTGTTAACTCACAAAAATTAAGAAAACCGTAAAGGTTTATCTACGTGAACGTACGCCTTTATGATTTTATTGTTCCGTGCATACCCCATTATGGTTTTAGTCCTTAACCACACGATATACCGGCATTTCAAGACGCAGTGAATATAGTTAAATTACGATGATGCTATGTCAGCTTACCTGATCGAGAGACATAACGGCACTTTTTTTTTATAGAAACCACTACTTGCCACAGACTACAGACTGAATCAGACTAACATAGCAACTAAATTCCGTCTACCTTTATTAGCAAGACATTCTGCCACGTAAACGACGTAGGACTTTATTCGTACCGGTGATTGGCCACGGAATCGGATAGTGGGGCGAAAGATTGAATGGTGATAAAACAAACAAAATACAAGATAAAACTGTAAGATATAAGCGTTATCTTACCTGTTCATTGATTCTTTATGTTTATCAGCGACATAAAGCAATTTTACATCGCGATTAATTTTATGCAATGATCGAGGCACTTTACGTTCAAAATTATATTCGTTAATTTAATTAATCCTTATTATTATTATTATTAGATATTCGTGCATCGTAAGAAATACATGGCGTAAACTGCTATTCGCTGTTATTCGCTTACAAATCCAATTAAAAGTTAGCGTAGTATGGAGACTTATGGCACGCAATAGAAATGGCGCTGATAGCATGCACATACATTTCCACACGTATTCACTAATGATAAGATACATTTCTCTCATAAGTAATAAGTAGTGAAAAATATTATTAACCTTATTACTGGGAATGCTACTTTGGGGTCTGGCAGACCCCATGTCGTTGATGAACTGTAAGTTTGTCAATGATTATACTTCATATGATTATACAGGGTTATTCAGTCCAAACGCATTACCTGAAATTAGCGCGCCTATTTGATTCTTATGGTAAAACTGTCCCGTAGAAAAATATCTCATAGCTAATATTTGTTTGCCAAAGATAATATATGATTTTCCATTAGTTTCCATTTATTTCCGACAAATTAACTTTGACGAATAAGACTATTGGCAATGGGAAAATGTTACTATGTGATGTTCAGGTATTATGGTTGGTCTGAATCACCCTGTACATGGATCACAATGACAGGTTATGAGGAATATGACCATACAGTTTATTTGCATCCAGACAACGCATGAACTATCTTAAAGACGCCAATTAGACGTCCTCGAAGTCCGAAAAGATTGGCGCGAAGACGCTTTAAGCCGCATGCACAATATGCCCAAAATAAGCACGTAGACTACCTAGTGTTGGATTCCCAAGTATAACGACGAATCACGGTTTCAATATTTTTATTAATTTGATGATCCATGTCGGAAACTATTATGTTCCTGACACTATTCGTGGCTTAACAGAGTAATAAACATCTTGGCTGATTTCAGTTTTACTGAGCTTTAAGATTTGTTGAGGCTGCTTTTTAAGGAGGTTGTGAAATGTGACGAGGGAAAATGCTTTGGGTTTTGGGAATTGTTGATTACGGCAGTTATATGATGGGGAAGGCCTATTCTGAATTCTTATGGTTTGTTTGCGGTTTTTAAGTGGTAACGGATATTTCTGAGATAATGGTCTTTGGTCTTGTGAGACGTAAATAGGAAAACTGATAATGAGTAAACGCTACGAATAGATGCTGGTCATGTTCATGGAAAATTTGTTTAAAAAATATAATAACTCAAAGGGTTATACGACACTAGAACGGACGTTTTTTTTTCTTATCTTAAAAATATCACCTGTCAATTTTGGCTCATTAGTGTTTTTGTACTTTTAGACTGAAAATTGAATGCTTTTTTGCTTTTCGAGAAAAAAATTGCATCATTCCATTGAAAACATGAAAGTTGACCATCGAGTTACCTTAACGCATGCACTCAGAAAGGAATTCAATAGCGAAATCTATCATCCCTCTTGGGATCCTACAACTTCTGTCTGAATCATCATTCTATATGTGGCTTCGGTTTCGAAAAAAATTGACCTGGCGACTATAAATGCTCCACCTTGTATATTAGACAATAACTGAATCCTCGTCTATGGAAAATTTGAACAGGATTAACCGTATGGTTTCTGAGATATACAAAATCTAAAAGTATTAATTTCCACTATATAGATAACCTACAAAAATGAATAATTTCGAAATTCAATACGTTTACTTTCATACGATAGAACTTAATGATTTCTCGCTAAAATTTTGAAGTTATCTTATATTTTCGATTATTTAATTTTTGAATAAAAAAATCTTAGAATTTTATTTGCCTGCATAATCCGTGATTCCCTATTATATTACTCGTATAATTATGTTCCCCGGAACACTTTTAAGAACCTTCTAGAATGCAATGACTTTTGATCCGAATATATATAGGTCGCAAAATCGTACACTGTATCAACAATGTATATAAATTCGAAAATTGCATCTTATTTTCTATTAATTTGATAGATTAAAGTAGGCACGACTTACGTCAGAGTCGTACAAGAAGGTAGGTAAAAAATAAGTCATGTCGTATAACAATATATTTTTTGCTGGGGAATACTTTAGGGACGAATTCATTTACGAAGCTGCTATTTTAAGGACAAGTGGCTGTTTTGGGGACGTGCTCAAAGATCTTCCAGCGTAATGACTGTTATGAGGACCATAAAACGGATTGTCTCACCAAATTTGTTTATATTTTTCCAATGTTTGGCATCCAGTATTTATGGCGGGCTTAGAAATGTTTCGTTAGGTTAGATTGGGTCAGAACTCCAATGCCGTGATGTCCCAAAGTAGTAGTTTTTTATTTTTAAACACATTAGCTTGCTATTGTGAACGCCCGTTGATTTTTCGTGTCTCCAAAGTATCTCTTTGACAAACGTATATACATATGTATATAATATATCTACTATTTCATCATTATGATAATAAAGATTTTATTGATAAACCAGATTTGCGATGGCGTGATCGACGAGCTTGTGGCAATCTTGTCTACTTACACATGTCAGTTAACTGATACTGTGTTAATGGATAGTCCTCAAGATGTAAAACGCAATTAGGTCGTGTCTTATCCATCCGAAATTTTATCTACAAAAAAAGTGTGTACACTGATAAACAAAGCAATATTTGACAATTGTGTATTTGTCCTTTGATAAAATGGACATTAATGATGTATAAGTATGAAAGTGTATTGATTCAAATCGAAGATTATAAATCAGTAAAATTTAATGGGAAAAATTATGAAGAAATCGCAATCTCTTTTGAAAGAAATTGTAATGCGTTATTCGTAAGTGAATAATAAATAAAAAATTTAATAACTATTAAATGCGTTCAGGCCTCTTGTAAGACTATTTAATTGTAAACAAAAAGACTTTTATTTTGAACTTTCAAACTGTATTTAATAATGGAAACACTTGAACCACGTTATGTACACGTTTTTATAAATATAGCATATAAGTTGAACTCAGATAAAGGTGCATTGATACTGACCAAGGTGATAAGAATCTTTGGGCATTTTAGAATTTAAACGATAAACACGCTGTTTCTGTTGTGACATGTTCGTGTTCAAACTAAAAAAATTGCAGAACTCTTATTAGCTAAGACAATTACGCAAATAGAAATTAAAATGCTTTCAACTTGATCTCATGTTTACCTGTCTCACCGCAGGACGCATAACTTTCAATTACTCGTCATAGATACGCACACTGCAATATTGCAACGATATTGCCAAATAGAATGATGGAAATAAGAAGGTCGCATGGAAAATGCTTCAGTGAGCATTAAAGGCAACTCGGACATAGTTGGAATGTAAATTTAATCAAATGTGCCTAGTTTATTTTGTTCAAAAAAGAAATGAACATAACCTTAATCGCGAGAAAAATGCATCTATAGTAACTATTAAAATAAATAAAATAAAACTTCCATAAAAATAATTACATAGCTGTAGTTTTTCATAATAGCCTGGAAACAGAAACTGTTCTACCGCTTTCTATTTTTACTTGATAAAAAAAATACTGTTTAAACCAAATACAAATAATATTTATACAGCAGAGCTTTTATTCCTTATTCGTATCGTGATTTCTTAATGTTCTTGTCACAGCCCTGCAGATTATGCTAAATCTTTTATAAAGATCCAACCGATGCTGAAGTACACTGAACATAAACGGGGTCACCGAGCTCCATCATCAGCCGCGACTCACTTGCGCAGGAATGTGGGAATTTCAGGTGTGTGACGCATCAGGTAGCCGAAGTTAATCGAGCATTTCCGACAACAGCCGAAGGATCCTTGTGACACTCGAAGATAAGCCAAGTCGAATATTTACGAAGATGGCCGAAGAAACTCGATGTGACATCATACCCACACGTCATGTGCGTACAATATTTATTGCTGAATAATTCGTTAACAGAACTAAAACCATTATGATAAGGTGTCTGTTCTATAAAAATAAAGATAATAGATTTATGAGAAGACGTGTATTCACAATTGAAGTATTCAATAAACCGTTACGAAATTTCACAAAGATTCAAATCACACTGTAGTGCCACGACGACGAATGCATATATAATTCTTAGTAGAAATTGGCAATACAAAATGTTGTACACTGGCAACTCTCTACATTCGAGGAGTCCTAGTCATTGCTACACCGTAATACGATCTGGTAAGTGGAAAAGAGAAAAAAAAACTGTTAAAGAATTCAGTTAGGATCTGACGATGCGCGGGATTGGGAGAACCAAAGAATTTCAAGCCCGCCGGACCCGAGTGCTTTCGACCGTTTACGGAAACAGCCGACCCTCGTACTATTCACGAGTCTGGCACGTAGTGCAGCAATCATATACGACAATACGGCGAGTTCGCTCGCGGCAGCGAGACGCGCTGTGAAATTCCCATTGAGGAATATTTCGTGTTTGCGACTGTATTTTACAAAATAAACTCGTATTCACGGGTTTTCAAATGTACGAGGCGTTTTTAAAGTGTCTGGTGCTTAGGTCGTTTCACGTGATAATTGAAACCGTGTAAATCAAACAAGGAAATAACAGTGAACGAGTGACCGACAATAAGTGTCATAGTGTAATTTATCTTTTGGTTCCGTTATAAAATAGTTGTTCCCCATTTATTTGTTTTTTTCAACGGACAAATTTTCACTGAACACTCGATTACGACGCAATTACGAATATACCGAAATTTTGAGATTTTGTTATACTTTTTTTTTCTGAACTACATGTGGAAAGTATTTATCACCATAAACTTTGACAAATAGTGCGTCATACAGTGCCGAGATGTAAATTAAAATTAACTGTTGTAGGATAAAAGGGTTATTGATGGTCATAATAAGTTGGAAGAAAAATTATAAACTAATCAAATTGTAAACAAATGAGAACAAATATTGTGAAAGAAATTTGACAAGTTAAAATTTTAAAAACCGTTTTCATACATCAAAAAATATAAGTAATGTGACACTGCTTTATTTTATATTTATGTACTGAATAGTGTTTCAAAAATTATTTGCTTATAAATAAAAGTTAGTTTTGAAGTAACAGAATTGTTACGTTCATGAAAAACATTTGGAGATAGAAATTTTTTTTTGGAAATTTGATATCTGTTTTATCGACTATTGATAAAACTAATTCATTCGTTTTGCCAACAGTATCGGTAACGTCGCGCCGTCCGTTCATGGACGAGTGAATTTCATGAAAGAGATAACGAGTTTCCTTATCGGTTTGACGCCATATTGCACAGGAGAAAAAAATTACAATAAAATAAAAAAGAGAGCGGGAGATACTTTCTTCAACGAGGCGAAGTTCTGATGACGCTGACAATCTTCAGTCGTCGGAAAAACGTTGTCGGATATGCAGATCGCGATGTCATTATCGAGTAAATCGTAAAGCTTCTCGGGGACAATTAAAGTTTTAAATACAGACAAGATTAAATCTATTATGCTTGCAATTCAAACTGAAAAAAATATTTTTCGTGAGAGATGAATCGATCACCAAAAGCAAATCGCAGTTTCCTTCACGGATCAAGTAGTAAAGCTGATCAATCGTCAAATAAGGTTGCCTATGCAACACTTGACAGTTTGGCATTAAGACGGACCAGACTACCCTTATGTCTGGTGCCAATTGACGAATCGCATCCTAATAAGGGAGAGAAAGTCGAGAAAGAAGAAAAAAAGGAAAAACGCAATGTAAATAGAAAGAAATCTTCACGACAACCGAGTTTCAAAGTGAGTCCAATTTTTATATCAGACAGCTACTTCTTTTATATGGCTAGTTTTCTTTGGCGTTTGTTTAACGTTACTTTAGGTTAGGTCAGGTCAGAACTGTAATACATTTATTACTTAATTTAACATAACCTTATATTACTTTTTCTAAAATGATTACGATCATGCGTCTACAGCAACTTCAGTGTTTAGCTTACTAATTATCGATATATTGTAAAATACAAGGTATATCGGAAAGTTCTTAGTAACAGAGATAACACGTTTTTCATGTTTATTCATTTCATATAGATTCATCCTTTTTCTTTTCTTTTTAAAAAGATTTTTGTAATACATATATATATCTACTATATATATTTCAACTATCTTATATATATATATATATATATATATATATAGTAGATAAATGGAATCGACAATTAATAGGATTCGGAGAATCTTATACTTTCTATTAACAAGTGTCACTTTGTTTAATTAGGTTAATTTATGATCGTTGAAAGATGTCTCAGCTTTTAGAATAATGATTGCAAGCCTAGTACTTTTCAAATAATAGTTTAGATCAATTTCTTTTAATTTAAACGTTACTTGTTAATTTATTAAAGACAAACAATTTTTATATGTTATTGCGAAATAACCACGGAAGTGGTTGCTGCGACTATCAGTGAGGTAATATTTGTCGTGACTTTAAGATTATAACGAAACTACGAAGATTATTTTATAATTGTTTAGCTGGTCATTGCATTTGAATCGTTATCTCCTGAAATGTATTATTTCGTAAAAATTCTATTAAGTGTAATATTTATTTGAATGAACGAAAAGTAGGCTTTCTTCTATTATTTTCATGATAATTTCACTATCGTGATGGAATAACTTAATGATTCATATGCAATGTAATATATGAGATTAAATTTCATATTTATAAATTATCCTTACGATGAATACTGTATATCTAACTGTATATTAATAAAAAAATAAAAGAAAAACCGTTATTTTTCCTCTAGAATAATTTTATAAATTTTTATGAAAAACTTATATCCTTATATCATATAAATATATTTTTTATAATTAATCTTCATTTTCTCGATAATATTGTGAAATTCTTTTTTTTCCTGTAGAATTGAATTAACTATCGAGAATTGACGATTTAATATATATATAACAATTGGAGTTTTTTTGCTGAATTTGTTTTTTATTTTCTACGGGAAGAATTTCGTATACAGCAAATTTTAGGTAGGAGGGACTGCGTGTCAGGTACTCCATTGATACCGATTTAATGGACTATACAATTTATGAATTTACTATAAAACTTAAAATATAGTGTTATTTAGAATGATAATGGTGAAAATCATCTTTCACGATTTGTTTCTTTTAGTTATAGACTTTTATTGCTACGTTAGAAAGGATTTAATAATATTTAAATAAGAGTTGGAAGAGGCAAGTAGAATTTTAGAATCTTGACTGGCTGGTGTGTGAAAAAAAGTAATAATATTTGCACCATATTTTTATACATATTATTTTACTTACTATTCTTATTTCCACTTCAATTGATATTCGATCTGATGTTGCGATGTAATCTTTCAAATCGATAACTATGTAGGGTTGTTTCTTATTAATCCTGTTTTTCAAATGAAGAATAGAATCACGCGACCATTTCCGGGTTAAGATTTCATGTCGAAATATTGCAGTACGTTTGAATACTATGGATTAACACAAGCGTTATTCTACTCTTCGGCATTTTTCGACAATGTTTTTTCAATTACCCCCTGGGCTTGAAACGGTTAGTGTTGGTTGTCTCATCACAATATATTACTTATTCTAGAGATTTTTATTATATTGTACGTATGGAATCTTCCTTCAATAATTTGATTTTCGCGAGAATAATCATGGTTAAATGATTTATTATCAATTTAAAATTCGTAAATAATATAAATATTTTTATTACTATTGTATACAAATTTATTAATTCTATAAATAGTTAAATTATGACATGTTTAAATCTCTTTATTAATAATTTTCCTCACTTGTTTGATGTTTCAGATTAGGTCTGGTGCTAGTACCCAATGGAAGCATCGTGCCACAAGATCGTCTGGTAAAGTGCATAATGTTTTTCTCAGAGAAACATGCATTGGCACAGGGAATATTGCCAATGGTGTGAATGTAAGACTACAAGTCCGTCAGGGATTCGCAAAGAATGGTTCCCGAGTACAAATCCAGCGAATACCTGAGACTGTACCAGAGCTCCTGGAGCAATTGCTGGGTATACAAAACAATGAGAATATTGCACATAAAAATTCTAATCGCTCAAAAAGTATTAAAAAATGTTGCTCAAATGTTCAAGAGGATGGAAGAGTTGGATTTAAGATATTGGACAGGGCCATCAGTAATTATCCTGAAAATAAAGTATCTAAAGTAAAGAACAATATTCAAATTAAGTCTTTGGAGAGATCACCAACAAAATATGTTCCTGATGAGGTCATAATCAAGTCTGAGAAATTAGATCAGCATTATGAAGAATTTAAAAATCCATTGGCCATAGTGAATTGTGGAAAACGTAGTGATTGTGATATTAAGGAACCTGAACAGAAGAATGATGAGTTGTGTAGCAGTGTTTCGCAGGAGAAAAATAATCATGAGCAAAAGTTTGAAAATTCTGACTTTAAGAATGATCAGAAACTATTTGACACCAAGAAAAGGTCTGACCTAGGGTTTGCAAAAAATGTTTTCAACTATGTTCCAATGACAAGTCGTACAAAGAGCCTCAAGAAGTTAAAAAAGAAGACAGTTTCCACAGACACGCTGAAGACCAAATCTCACAGTCTTAAATCTCTAACAATTTCTGAGCCTAGCAATTTTGTACATATAGCATCAGCCACTAACTCTAAGCTTCTGAATGCAGGAAAGACTTTTGCCAGTTCACAAGTGACTGAAGTGATAACACATAAAGAAAAATGTGCCACGTTGCCACTCTTGGTCAGCACAAATCCTTATTCCAGCATAGACTTTATCAACTTAAGCTCCGACGACAAGTCTGCAAATAATACAAAAGATATCAGATTATCAGAAGACAGCGACAAAACTAATTATGTGGAGATCAGAAGTAAGGAACCTTTGAAAAGGACGTATGCCATTGATAAACTTTCTTCTAGCCTTGAGAAGATTCAGATTGATAAAAGAGAAGTTGATCAGATTTATGAGTGTATATCACGATTTTCCACAGGTAATACAGCCTCGGCATTATTACCTAGTTTGGATGCAACTGCTAACAGCTTGCCATTAAATCTAAATCAAGAATCAAATATTAATACAGATTCAGCTTCACCGATATCAACTAACTGTGAAGGTTCAGAAGAAAAAATCTATGAGACTGTATTTCAATCTAGTTCTGCATCAAGCTCTTCCCCTGTAAATGTTAGTACACCTGTAGGTGTCAACTCTATTCTACACCACTACACTGAGGCTGAATCTCATTATGCAGATTTAAATCTTACTACAGTAAATTCTGCATTAGTAATAAGGGCAAACTCGAGTTTCTTATGGGGTAGTATGACAACAGGACGCAGTGGTGTATGCGTCAACGTACAAAATGTCAATTCGTCAGCATTTGATAATAAATCACCAATGACAGTATTAAAATCCGATGACTCATCATCAAAAAGCAACAGAGAATTGACGAATACTGTGAATAATGAAGATTACGATGACGTGGGTCTAACCGATAAATTCACTAATGTGAGTAACTACATAATCTTCTTAGCTACTGTTCTATCTCTATATTTTTTAAATAACTGGGCCTTTACTTTATTTTAGGATTATGAATATGACGACGTAGGTCCACCTGGTGATGTTATAATAGCAGCAGAAGAAATTAAAAATCAGGAGAGTGTAAATTCTGCTACTGTGAAAGTGAATGAAAAATTTAAAAATTACGTATCTGTAAATGACGATAACGAGGAAGTGTATGACGATGTGGTCGTGTTGAACTATGATTCTACTGGCAATTTGTCATCCTCAAGTACGCAGGCTGAGAGCAGCAGTTACATGACACCGTACCTTGTGACTCGAAAAGCCTCGTTTCGGCATAAGGATCAGGAAGTAGTGTTGAGAAATGCGGAGACACAATATCTCATTGTAAATAACGAGTACTCTAGCGTCGAAGATGAACCGGAAGCTGGACTGTACGATGATATAGATCTTCTGAGTCAGGAACGTGTTAATAGTCTCTATGCTGGAAGTAGCGCAGGTTCTCAGCTGGGTTCTACCTCCAATGGTAAAGACTCGGAATGGGAAGACCTTGACGATACTCCACCAGCATTACCTTTACCCAGAAGAAATGGACCAAGGTGCGTAACTTGCAACTTGACTATGTAAGTTGTTTGTCTTATATTAGTAAAACTTTTTAGTGAATTTATTTCAATTTTATTTTGTTAATTTAATATTAGGGTTATTGGAGAGGTTCAGAACATAACACTTAAGAAGAAACTTGGACCTAGATGGTATCGAAATGTTCGAAAACAACGTTCGAAAACGTCTAGGAAAAGCTCGACAAAATCATTGAATCAAGTCACGCAAGATTCTATATCGGTTGGTGAGTAAACTATTGAATTTTTTTAAATTACTTCAATTATACGGAACAAGTATATGATCGTGCGTACAAAATCAGTTGAAATGTTCAAAGGAGAATTTAACAATTGCTAACACGTTCCATGCCAAACCTTTTTTTTATTACTTTCCGATCAGACAGCGTGAAGCGTATACGCCCCACGCAGCACGGAACTTGTTAATAAAGATCTATTAGGTGGTTTAATCACAACCCTGTTAGCACACAAATCATAAAGTCGTCCCGGAGATGACTTTTTAAAAATGTCTTAAATAAGACAACTCGAAGACATCTTCCAAAAGATGTCACAATTTATTAAGACATTCATAATTCGTCTTGAACTCGACGTATGCGACAATGTAATATAAAAAATATACAAAATACGGGATTATCGTTGCTAATAAAATCACTATATCCCGATCGACTTGTATGAGGGTCACGACGTGCGGTATTAAGTTGATGCAAATGATTGCCTAAAAGTTTACAAATATTTTATTGCATTATCTTATAAAAATTGCATATCTCAAATGATTGACTAAATTTACATTACACTAAAATTCAAAATATTTGGAATATTTATGGAGTTTATGATATCATTGTATGAAGTAATTTGGTAGTAATTCTATAATCGCATCTAAATTTTATCTCTTAAACCTATAGGACACTAATAAAACTGGGATAACGTAACGTAACAACTACGCCATGGTCTGGACCCTAGTATTCTTTCATGATAGTGCCGGTATAAGGTTTAATAAACTGGAGCAATTATATACAATAATTTTCAACATACAATTAACCTAATCTAACCTAAAAAATATTTCAATGTAGTCAGAAAAACGTCGGATTGAAACGCTGATAAAGATGTCTTATTTCGATTTGATTTGGCGTACGACGTTTTCCAGACGTCTTAAAGTTGAAGTTACGATATTCTTTTAAACCGTCCCAACTCAATTGAAGACGTCCAAATGTCATCTTCGAGACGTCTTTATGTTAACAGGGCATGATCATAATAATAATCGATTTCATAAGTTAAGCAGTCAGTAAAAGAAATGTTTAGATTTTAAACTAATTAGTGGTAATATAAGAAAAACTTTAAGCTTCGCTCATAATTATGAAAATTTAATGTACGGAACTAAAAATTTCGAATTTTAAGGTTATTCATATTCATGTATATAGTATATACAGTGAAAATGGTTAAACTTTGACTTTTCTATTTTTTAATGCCGTACAGTAAAGTCTCATTGGAATATTACATGGCTTGAAATTAAGTTATCATCAAACACGTACATAAAATTTAGATCTTAACTTGGAATGCGATCTGCGATCGAACTACCGTAAGCAGGTTGTATAGCGTTCATTTTGATCGACTGTGGAAAGAATAATCTATTATAACTATCAAGGATGGATACAAATGTGGTCTGATTCAATATGTATTGCTATGTATAATTGCGCAAGAATTAACGGTAAATGTATAAGGTAGCGTCGTTGGGGAAAGTTGTTTCACGGAGTGATTTTCCAATAGATTATTACTGACTAGCGTTGTTTTCTAATTAACCGCATCACACAGCCAGACCACTGGCTTACGAATTGACGTATTTTATGGAAGGAAATATAAAATAAAACAAAGAGGGATAATAAAACTAAGGCCGTTATTGCCTGTTATCATATAACGAAAAACAGAAAACATTAGGATATTAATAATGTAACTATGCAAACCGTATAAACGATTTAATGCAATACGGTCGTAAGATGGCGGAACGGAAATTGATCGATTAATCGATTACCCAAATATTGAGAAAATGGATATTCAAAATTACTGAGGAACTAACGGGTTTTACTATTTATTGGTTGTGAACGTTTGAGTACAATAATGTCAACTTTTATGGTTTTATAGATTAATCCGCTAGATGCCACTACTATTTGAGATTGTTACGGCCATTTTGTCACGAGATTCAAGAGAATGCTTATAAAATGTTACAGCAGAATGTCGATTATTCGAACTAATCGGGAGACATTGGTTTTCAAATAATAGAAAATATGTAGTAAATCAATATAAGTCAATGGAATTCATTAAATTTTGCAAAAATACATATTGGCAATGGGAATTTCCTATGACATGTGCCTATCCAATGTTTATACAGAAGAAAACGCGAACGGTTCACAAGCTGATCGGATACCCAGTCGTTTGGATAACCAAATTTGGATAATTCACGTTCTCTACTGTATTCCTACATGATTTTGAATATCTATTGTTTGTACGTTTTGATCTTTTTTTTTTTTTTTTGAAGTATAATATTGATCTGAAAATATTTTTTAAATTTCACACGATGTTCAGGTTAAGAAAAGAGACAAATGTTTTTCGATCACTCCTATTTGTTAATGGTTATACGATACGACGAGAAAGATATTCAGTGAAAGTCTGGGAAGAAAGTGACATAAATACTAATGATGTCGCATTGCCACAATGGTGTCATTGGTATTCGTCACGTACTACGTGTTCAAGGCCGTTCCGTGTACGAGCTACTAGGATGATATTGAACGGTTACAAATCAGCAAGATTGTACTAATTGCCATTTTAAGTATCTATAAAGAGTTGAAGAATTTTTAAAATTACTCATCAGTTACAATAAATATCTACACAGTATTTAGGAAGAAGCATTGTCTTTTAAATTTTATTGAAACGCTAAATTCCCATCGTTCCTTAAAAAAAGTTTCCGTGGTTTTAGTACGTGACGTCAAACAATCAACTTATTGTCTTTTATACATCGATAGGAGTATACGATAATAGATGTAAACTAGAAAAGACCATTTTTGAAATTTGATTTAAAACTTTGAAAGATCTCGCGTTTTGAATAAAAATTCCGTTAACGAGTATGATAGTGCCAAAGGCGGATGTCTAATATGTTCACTTAACACTAAAACTTGTCGCGCCATCTTGTTTGTCCCGCGAAGAAATTCACTGAAAACTTTAACGCTTACATAACGGTAGGAATACGAAACATCCTACATGTTTTTGCATTTAACTATATTATAATTCTATGTTAGATAAAAGTGGCGGAATTTTATCGACAAAATTCCGAAACACGTGGTGTACCTAGTAGACGTCATTATAACGCAATGACTTAATTTCGCTTTAACGTCTAATGGAAAGTTTTACATTCGCAAACTGCTTTGATTCCTACAAAAATATTGACTGCGTATTAAGGACTGTCTGCTGGTGTCAATTTAGCTTATCTGGTTTTCTAACATATTGATGTATCAAAATCTTAATACGATTTATCAAACTTTTACTTCAGCACGTAACTGTGGAATTCCCCATTACCATACTAATTATAAAAATCCGTTATTTTTACGGGTTAAGTTCTTTAGTGTTCAAATATGTAAACCAGCAGTCGTCGATTTTTCATAGAAAGCACGTTATTCTTTGCACTCAGACTTGTCATTCGTAACTGTAATATCAATTGAAATACGCAAACAATTTGAATGACTATTCAATGAAATGTAAAGAAAAGAACAGATTTAATATATCCGGAAATATATTGAATGTTGGACATAGTCGATATCGAATAACTTAGCAAAAATGAGTAAGGATCAGTCGAGAAAAAAGTCAAATGACGAATTATCCATTGCGAAATGTCAGTGGTCACCGTATATTTTTAAATTTCGCAAATATAAATATATGTAATATACAAAGTATAAAAATATGAGTAAGATAAGTAGATATTAATTAGTGTGGTAGTGGAGAGTTTATAAGAATGTATTGTAAGGAAAGTAATTCTCATTGTTTTCCTCGTATTTTGAAATTCAAGCATATACGAAAGCCTTTATGCATTAATGTAAAGTTAGGCGAAATGTACCATAGCCCGCAAAATACGTGCTACTCGAGACAAGGTGAAAGCGCATATTACGCGTTCTCAGTAAGTCTCGAACCTCAGTCGTGCACGCTACCATCTTGTGTTACAAATAGTCTGTTCGTATTAAGTCGTGACGCACAGGTCGCAAGACCGATTTCCGTGTGGATTATGTGTGTACGATGATGAAGACGAGGTCGAGTACGGTGTCTAGACAACGTCCAAATACCCAGGGTAAGTGGAATTGGAAACGTGGTGCTTAATGCTACAGGAACATTTAATAATGGCCACCTCGGATGCTACACGAAAACCGGTAGAGATCGTAAAGGATTGCTTGTTGACCTTCGTTCATGATTTTAAGTGGCCGTCAGCCTTGGCGCCGGATCGGTTCTTCTGATTGGTTCATCTGCCGGACAGCAGCAGCCAATAGACGGCTCACGACAGCAATCACAAGACACGGGATTGGTCCAAATTCGTCTTTTGGATCTTGATGAAGTCTTGGATTCACAAGAAATTTCCTGCTACGTATACGAAGGTTTTCGGTTATGAGATTATTTTTCAATAGGACTTTGATTTATGCTTTTTTTTTATTTATTAATTTGAATTTCTTTAGATGCTCGCACGCATATTGTCACTCTAATTGGAATTTTCTTGACATGTATAAAGAAAAATTCGATTTTGCGCACTTGGATCACACAACATTTGCATCGCAATGTTTTACACTTTGCAATTTTGTTGTATGATTTAATTTTACCGATTGACTTCAAGTCGTGATGCTTTTTTGAGCTGTATTTTTTTTATGACATTTTCTTTGCTTATTTGTTAATTACAAGATAATATATGTCTTAACGCTTGGGAAATAACGAAAGCATCTCAATGTCTGGGAAATCTTACCAATGCGAGTTTCACTTTTCACTTTCATGTTTCACGTGCACGAATATTATTTATTATTCAAAATTATATTGCATTGAGTGCATTTTAATTGTTATTGTATTCCCAACGTACAGGGGCATTACTTGCGGAATATCAATTCTTAAAATCCGGTATGCCTGTATTAACTTTCAAGAAAAGCACATGTAGTTTCATACATGTATATTATCAATCCAAATTGATGAGTAAAGTAAGAATTGTCTGTATACCGAATATTAACATACAATTAACTAATTATGCACTGTATTAGTATTAGCACTACATTAGTATACGTATTTTCAATCCTTTATTGGGTGCCAGGCCGAACTACAATTGTTATACTTTTTGAGTGACGCCCCTCAGATAAGGGTTTAATATTTATTGAGACACGGCATTTAGCTATCACCGTCACTTTGCACGCTTCGTTTAATTTATAGTCTTTAAGGATGCTTGCGCGACACTGCAGCCCACAGATAAGGGAGTGACAATGGAAGTTAATAATAGTATTTAAAAAATGCAACTGTCATTAATATACTTTATATGGAGAAAAATTAATAAACTTTAACAGCATTGAATAACCTATCAGTTTTGTTTAAAGTAACAAGTTTTACTTCTGAAATGGTCCAATTTGATTTATACTTTACTATAATGAATTGCTTAAAAATTTCTTTAACAATAATATAGGCTACGACATTGGATAAACAAGATATATTTAAATTTGGAAGTATAGCAGAAAAATATATGATGTAGGGATAATTAGATTTTCTTTTTCTTTATCCTAAATAAATTCAATGTTATTAAGTGTTTGTGTTACTGTTACCTTGTCTTTTTTCATACTTAGTTACCCAATGACAGTTGCACTTTATAAATGTCTGTTAAATTTCTTTTGGTTTAACGAGAACAAAAAAATGGGAAGAGATAAATTGGATAAAGAAAGTGATAAGGAAGATGTGAAAAACAAATCTGTATCAAAGTCCTACTTAAATACCGAAAGGTCTTGTAACCAACGATAAATCATATGATGATTTGTTAAGGCTTCTCTGTATTTAGATCAGAGACTAGAAAATAACAGTTTTCGAAGTTTTCTTTAGGAGTGTGCCCCCCCCCCAGATTTTACTTTTTTTTAATCTCCAAAACGATAAGGCCTAGGAAGTTGAAATTTGATAGGCAATTAGTTCTTCCCCTGAAAAGAGGGTGCATGAGCATCTTAGTGATCGGAAGTTTTCTAATACTACATATTTCCCCGTTGATTCCTCAACGGGTTACAAACTAGTATTTCCATAAATTTACTATCTATAATAAATTAATATTATAACGTGATCTTGAAAATATATCAGAAATGTTCCTATTTAAATTCTTTAAAAAATGTTGCAATACACATTACTGAAATCTCTCATATGCACAACATCCAATAATAAGGAAAGGTAACAACCAAGACAACACGTACTGTCCAAAAATCGTCTTCAAGACGTCTCATGTGACCGAAGTTGTCTTTTAAAGATCCTAAAGATGATTTTAGGGTTTAAAGACTGTTTGGAAGATTCGTGATTAGTAAAATCTGATACGAGAAACATAATTAAATAACAATACTTATTTAAGTATAACTTTTATATGAGTCATCATTAAAAGTAGTATTGATATTTAGTACACCCCTTATTCGTTGTATATGTATTTGTTGAACTCTATACTTCTTTTTGGTTGTTAAAAGTACTGCGAATGGGAAATAGACTAGTAATATTATTTATGAGATGCGTGACCTATTATTTCTGTGTACTTGCAAGGTTGTTCACATATTTCACATGCTCAGATCAAGTTAGATCACAGGTGATGTAGAAAAGGAAGCAAGTGGATCCCTAGTGACTTTCAAAACTTATTAGTTTCTGTAAAGTTTTTGATCTCGATGCCAAGGAGCCTTAACAGCGAATGGTTGTACCATTTGTAGCATATATTAATAACTTGCGAACAAAAATTTGTGCTTTGTTCAATGAACATATTAATAAGAAGATAACAACGCATCAATTTAACATTTTAAAGAGATTAGACCTAATAATTGAAGTAAGAGTACTGTAAGGATGATTAGTAGTTTTAAATATTTCTTAGTATCGCACCATAAGTTTTATTGCTTGTAATATGCCATTATTATTATATTTAGGTAGCGAAATCAAGTTCACTTTGACGGTCCAACTCGCAAATTTATGGCATACGCATTTTGACATAAGACTAATTGACAAATGTTTTAATTTTGTAGATGCCACTTCGGATGACAGCAACTACGAGACACTGTATTCCTCCCAGGTGGATGAGTTCAGTACCGACTCTGAGTCAGAATCCTTCAACAAAGAGCAAAACTTGACATCAACAGGAATCTTGTACGAGAAACGTAACTATTGTAACAACAACAATGACAACAAACTTGATGTAAGAAAGAATTCTGAGGTAAAAGTGGACGAAGCGCCTTTACGACCTACTCCACCTACTCCTCGTGAACCTAGTATTACTCAGACATTGGGTAGACGGATGAAGATTCTAAGGCGTACTTGGAGCTTCACTAAGGGCAGCTTAGGCAGGATGCGAAAGAGAACTGAACCAGAAACAAGTTTCGACGAGACTCCAGTTAAGCAACAAAATATAAATGATGCTCGCAAATACTTTAGCTTCAAGAAACACTTTCGCAAGTCTATAACAGGATTGTCCACGTTCTACCTGGAGAATAGCACCGATTCCAATTATCTAAGAGAGGAAGCTCCGACTAAGGAAGAAATTTACGCTAATGCTAACTTATATACGCGAGCTGGACTTTGGAAGGATGATAATCAATCTGTAGAAGATGATGTCAGTACACCTGGTAGGACTATTTTTGTATTGACCCCAAACGTATATTTTTTTGGAATGTCCTTATTTCATTTTCTATTTGAGTCTTCTTACGTTTGAAGATGTTGGGTCTTAGTGAGCATTTGCTTCTAGATTATTTCAATATTGTATTTCAAGCTTTGTTTATTTAATTTCAGATCATTACAGTGTCCTTGCCGAAGAACCTCTTTATCAGTTCTATGCTGCTGCAGTCGCAAGAGTAGCATTCGAGTCTGATTCCGATGGATACGAAGAGGTATACTTAACAAAATTCAATATATGTTAATTATTTGTATTATTCGATAATCAAATTAATAATTAGTTATAATTAATGATTATGTTTTAGGTAAATGACGTAACTCCGTCACCAGCAACCACAGACCTTGGTAAACCTGGACACAGAACGTTATGGTGCCAAACTCCTCAAGTGATACACAGTGGCCTTTTACGTAAGTTATTTTCCATTTTTGTTCCGTAATGAACTTCCGAATACGATCAAAGAATAAAAATCTATATCGATTATACTATAAATTTCTTTGCAGTCAATTACTTAACAAATATTATTATTGCTGTTGATAAAATCAATTTAACCATGGAAAAAGTCTTTTAGCTTCGCCAACCTGTGTTCAATTAACTGTAGACCCGTAAAGTGCAATTTTTCTTGAAATTAAATTTATTTAACTTTCAGAGAGATTAACAATGGAAGAACGTAAAATCCAGGAAGCCAAGTTTGAAATTTTAACGTCAGAAGCTTCTTACCTAAATTCTTTACGTGTCCTTGAAAATGAATTCGCATCAAATTACGAACTGAATAATGAAATCTTAACGACCTTGGAAAGGAATAAATTGTTTGGTGGACTCTCGGCTGTTCGTATGACCTCGGAGAAATTATTGACTGACCTCGAGAACATTTGGCGTGACGATCCACTGCTTGGAGACTTACCCGATGCACTCCTTAAGCATGCTGAGAAATGTTCTACTACCTATATTCAATATTGCTCGAATCAAGTCACCATAGATACTGTACTAAAGGAGTTGAGGTAATTTTTTACACGATGATGTGCAGTGTGGTGTCCTCATTTTGAGGCATAATAGTTTTAATAATAATATTGATAAATTAGATTCTATTTGCATTGTTATGTTGGTCTACTTCAGAACTAGAAAAGGATCAAAGTTTGTCGAAGTCATTTCTAATATTGAAGCACATCCTGCGTGTCAGAGTCTGTCGCTCCATTCATTTTTGATGTTACCAATGCAACGAATTACAAGGTAAGAATTACGTAACGCATATGATTATATTTTACCTTGGTGTATTGTTTATTGTTTTATGCATACATATAATTACGGCTCTTCCCTACTAAGGGTTACGTGAGTGTCACGATTCTGTGATTGGTTTATTACTTTTTATTGGGTCTTAAAAATTTGGATGGAGTATTCTACATTCCTGGAAACAGATTATCAACATAATTAATAACGAATCTTGAATAAAATTCAGTGTTTTAATCCATTGTTATATGATCCGTTCCGGTAAACCTCTTTACTTAACTCATTCATGCAATAACAACAAAAAAACTGAATGCGAAAGACATTGAAATTTCAAGTATACCTATATTTGTCTTTCATTGAGGTGAAATATGACCTTTTATAATACTGGTCTACTCGTGACAAGGAATTGTACATTTAAGAACCTTAAAGAATCAATTAAGAGGGAATGGAAGAGACTATTTCTATAAGTGATTTGTCAAGCAGACGAGGCTGGAAGCAAAAGGAAACTGCGCTTCTAAAAATCTCGACAGAAAGTATTATCAATTAATTTATTACAAGAAATTGAAGCCTTACGATAAAATGGCTTTCCCTACGGAGTCAAATTTTTGAATTTTTTTTTAAATATATAAAATGTAACTGAATTTTGAGAGTGACAGACTACGGATTTGTCATTGCGACCCGACAATACCTTTGCTCTTCCCTATTCAACACTTATTTCATTGTTGCACAGAATCACACATGTAAAAAAAAAAAGGAGATACGCAGGAAAATTTTTATATCTGTCAAGTTTAAATCATATCGCTGAGAATTCCTCTCGTATAGCCAATTACGAGATTTTCAGGTGGAGTCTTCTCGTTTCCAGCCTCGTCCGTGTGACAATTCACCTATACAAATAGTCTCTTTCATTCTTTCGTAAAATTTGAATATTAAAAAAAAAAGTTAGGAAATATTAATTTCTTGTCTATAAATGCAATATCATCCACTCGTAGTGTATAGATTTTTAATGGGAAACTATATTTATTTTTTGATAACTTGAAAATTGAAACTTATAGTTATTATGATACGCAATGACGTAGATGAGAATTAATTCTGCATCATTTTTGAATCATCTAGTTTTTGAATAAACAATAAAGCTCAGTGAATAAACGCTGATGATGAAGAATATTCTTCTTTCACTTTTCAAAGCATCCTGTTCTCTCGAGTATTGAAGTATTTACTTTCTCGATTGAATGTTTAATTTCAAAGTACGTTTCAGGTTACCATTGTTAGCAGATGCAGTTCTATCGAAATTACCAACCGAGCACACAGAGAGATCAGTATGGGAAAGCGTGTTAGCAAGGCTTACTCAGGTTGTTGCAGATTGTAACGAGGGTGCAAGAGTCGCAGGACAACGCGTGGAGATGGATGCTCTTGCAAGGTACAATTAAAAAATCAATAAATAAAAAACTATCGACGTTTAATCCTGGATTTATAACTGCTTCAATTTATTTTAGAAAATTGGAATACTCGGCCAAAGTTACACCCGTATCATTACGTGACAAGTACCTAGTACGTAGTGGAGCTGTAGTTCAACTATCAGGGAGGACAGATGCAGAGTACAGATTGACATTTGGCAAGAAGTTCCATAAGACACCGCTTTACATATTCCTATTGACAGATTACCTTTTAGTTTCAAAACCTAAAATAAGGTGAGCTGTGTCACTTTAGTATTGTGAGGTATTCTTGTTCAACATAGATCCTTCATTTAAGTAAAACTGATTTGAGTAACTTGACCATGATGCGTTTTTCAGTGCCCACGACGAGACGTACACAGTAATTGACACTTGCAAGCGGAATTTAGTAGCTCTGGAAACAGCGTCGGAAGATTCGCTATTCGCAGGTCGTAACGCCATGATTCTAACGTTACTGGAAAATTATCAGGGTCGTGAGGCAGAGTATGTGGTGACATGCGATAGCGACACCGAACGACAGAGATGGCTTGATGCTGTGTCGTCACCTAAATCTGAGCTTGTCGGCGAGAGACTCTATGAAAGCTGGGATTGTCCTCAGGTGATGGCGCTCTATTCATATTCACCTAGACAACCGGACGAGCTTGCTTTGCAACCAGGTACGAATTTATTCATAAAATTTCTTAAACGTCTGGAACCAGATAAGCATAAAACTTAATGGTATTATGATACGTGTTCAATGGATTTATAATTGTTAGTGGCATCTACCTACTATGTTGCAGGGGACGTTATCAATGTCTTGAGAAAGATGATAGATGGTTGGCACCATGGTGAAAAACTTTTAGATGGCGAGCAGGGATGGTTTCCGGGCAATTATACGAAGGAAGTTGCTTCGGAACATGTTCGGGCACGAAATTTGCGCCAGAGACATCGGATACTGGCACTTAGTGGTAATATTCTTCAGCGACGAGCTAAGCGAGTATAGTAAATATTTAATGAAAAAGTTATCTAGCTTTACGACATTCCAAAACTATTTTTGTTTTTTAATAATAGAGGTCAGAAGTGCTTTATGTGAAATATTTTGACAATCCTTTTTTTATATTTGAGAATAGTTCATCGGGATACAAGTATGGCCAAGTGCGATATTTGATAAGAAAGTTAGTCAAATTGTATACGGGAGTATAATCGAAGTACACAGCGTGACATGAAAGCAAATAAGGCATTGTGATACTCGTCTATTTTTAGCACTCTCGCACTATTCTAGCTATTTATTTTTTATCAATTTTGCGTAATTTTTGTATGCTCACAGTCTTCATATCACGAATTAAATGGAGGGAAGGGGCGTCCCCTTCGAGAATAATATTGGAACTGTATCAAGTATTTTCTGACCAATCAAATCGTCATGGACTGCCGTTACTTCTGTTTCATTTAAACATTTTGTTTACATTTAAACGGACAGGTCTATCTTTTCTGTCAGAGGAAGAACGCGATTGTACACGAATTTTGACGAAATAAATAATAGTCGAAAATAAGTCTTTTTCTTAACAAGTTTAATAAATGTTTAAGAAACAACAGCTTAATACGTTAAAGTATTTGTGTTATATATTTCCTTTAAATATATGTTATATATATATGAATTGTGTTATATATTTTCTACTAAAATCGTTGAAATAAAGACTAAAATAATTCTCTTCCGCGTTTGATCAAATTTATTGATTACGGTGTTTTTTGCATTACAAGCGGTTGGACACCGGTGACAATAGTATTTGTATTTTCGACAGCCGTTTCTCGATATCATATTTGATTTTTGTAGGCATTACTGCACGAAGCATTTCAGAGTATCTTGTACAGTCATCATCGTATAAAAAAAAAGATGAATAGTTCGGGTCTAAAAACGTTTTCGTATTCAAAATTTTGAATGTTTTAAATCAATCAAATGCAAATTTGTTGGAAAAAATTAAGTACAATTACAATTTTAAACTATTATCTGCTAATGATGATCAATTAAGACATAATTACATGATTCGTGCAATCATGCCGTATGAATTCCTCTTTATATTTTCTCAAAGGTACCGTATTGTATATTTTGACAACAATTTCAGACAATTTTGCGGACTTTTCCAAATGTATTTGTTCTATGTTTAGATATACCTAATGCCTCAAGGTACATTCAGTCACTTTAATGCATTGTATTTTTTTCATTTGTACAGATTGACTCAATTTTTAACAAATAAATTATCGAGTCATTTTGATAGTTATTATGGTAATACAAATAACAACTTTTTTTCGGTTATTGATTTTATTAGGAAATTTAAAAATATTTATCAACTCCAAACTTTTGAGGAAAATGACGGAACACTCGATAACACTTTCTCACCGCCGACTTATCCAATTGTTTGAATAATTAACAATAATAATCTGGTTGTTATTTTTAGTAAAAATTATACGAGTTAAGAAACTTGAGAGTTGCTGAATCTTATCAGTTTAATTAACTGTAATAAATATATAGACTTATTCGGGACTCATTGATTATAGATTGGGCAACAGTGGGCCTTTAATTATTTATTATAAAAAGACATTATATTATCCATGCAAATGATAATACTCTCCTTAACTTGATTGATTCTTGCACAAATCCTGAATTTAATATTTTTATCGTAATATGAAGTATTACATGCTTACAAATGTGTAAGCTTGAACAGTATTATATGTATGTTCATAAACATGTAGACTTTATACAATTTAAAAAAAAGTTCACTAAATGCACGGATTCAGCGATTACATTCCGCAAATGATTATTAAAAATATTAATTACTTGAACAAAATAATACTTTTGCTGCATATTCTACATTTTCCCTATATTGTTTTTAAACGTTTTAAATAATTATTTCTGGGTCAATGTAAACACTCGAAATAATAAATATATGCCAATTTATTCGTATTACATCATATAAGTACATTGTATAGATAATTTGACGTAAATTCGTATATTCTGTACAAAAACTGATTCTACCTTCAATTAGAACATACTATACATCCGCATACCCATATAGCTAGTCATATCATTTATCATTACTGTATTTTATTACTGTTCTGCATAAACATGTCGATAATGATAACTATTTATTCTTGCATACAGTTGTTTAATGCTATTCAATGCGCGTTTGTTTTGTTATTATAATTATTTTGGCGGGTCGCACCTTTTATGCGAATAATATAAAATTTGTTATTCAATGAAGACCATTTATTATTTTTAGCGTAAAACAATTATCGGTAATCTACGGATATCGTGAAAGACAATGTAATGACAGTATAATTTTTAACACATTCAGTGTCAGCTGTCACTATATTGTATTCACCATTTTTAAGTCGCAATTATTTACCCCCACATTTGGATTCAGTGATCCCAAAAACGCTTAGATATGAAGTATCGTTGAAATCGCAGTGATAGACATTTTTTTTTTATAAAGAACACGTTTGTGACACAAAAGGTTAATTAATATTTAAAGAAAAGTTAACGATTTCTTTTGCAACCAAGCATTGATACGTACTAAGCACAGTAATAGTTAGTGCATTATTTTCTGAGCAGAAAGTACCAGAAGCATTTATTTTTTTAAATTGAATTTATGCACGTTCCTTTAATTAAAAAAAAAATGAATGCCTTTTTTATTATTGGCACGGGTCGCTTTTTGAATACAAAAATGTAATGACCTGTGTAGCTATGTGAAATATCATCCTATAATACTGTTGATAGTATGGTTCTTATGGAATGTAATAATGGATACGTATTATTGGTATAAAAAGAACTCATAAAAATAATATAATGAGCTATACTGTGACGATATTTATGACGTGTCATGCTATTAATTCCTACGATATAGTTCAACGTTTTATGAAAAATATTTTAGTATAGCTTTATTTTAAAAATCGACAAATGGAATTTTACAATTAAGAATCCATAACAATTTCTTCAAATTTTATAACGCGACATTGGCGATTGTGATAAAATGAAAAAAAAATGAATTAACCGGTATTTGTTTAAATATCATAAAAAATTAATGGCTGTGTAAAACTTTTCTAAATTCATTTCTATAATAACCTATTTAATGTCTAGGAATGATTCCTCGGTAATAAAAATATTGACGAATTAATCAACATGGATAAGCCTTTTCCTTCACCATTGGCAATGGAATTTTATATAATCTTAATGCTTCTACTGTCTTAAATGCCAACTCTGGAGTACGTAGAAGGTCTTACTTCGAATAGTCTACGTACAAAGTAAACCTGTAAAACAGTAGTGGCAGCAATGACAATGATCTGGGCAATGGACCACTTTTGCACATAGGAATTATTATCAAGAAGTAAATTTAAGTCTCGAGCCTCCCGACTGCGACTTAGATGCTGTGTTTGCAGAATCTCATTGATATTCTTCTCAACGCCGACAATTGTATGCTGTGAAATAACAAATTATTATAGTTCGCACTATTTCATACTCTTGTGGAATTCTCTGTAGGTTTCAATATATGTAATTAAGGGTTTCTCAGAAGTACTGCATCAAGTAAAGTTAATCAGACTATTGTATTCCTACTATAGAATCATTTTCAGTTGATGCAATATTCTAATGAACCCTTAATATATGTTACTTACTGTAAAGTTCTGAACCGACAGATTCAATTCTTCTAATTCTTGTGTGACTTTATCCCACTGATCATACCTACATAAAAATATATAATATATACAATTAATAAGAACAGCTTATAAAAAAAGATTGTGACTTATCTAAGCTTTAGAAATATTTATGTGCAGTACAACTTTATGTAAAGCAAGTTTATTCAAAGAAGTCACATGCCAGCTAATCAACAGTTTGCATTATATAGAATTTTACAAAAAAAGTATGCATACCTATGAAAAAGTGAATTACATATATTTTGTTTAGATGCAAACAATGCATGTAAAATTTATTGAAAAATTAATAGACAAAATAACCTAGGTTTTGGTACTATTATATTCCTAATAAAACTTTTAAATAATTCTCTTGTAAGTATCTAATTTCTCTTAGTGAAAAGAAAATTCATCTTTAAAAAGAGTATGCATACTTCTTAAACAACTGAATAAATTCATAAAAATATTCAGCTGTGATATCCCTTTGACGTATAATGGTACTCAGAAGTACCATCTGGCAATTCTAAAAAGAAACAGTAATCTACATCCGATTCAAACGACAATTATTGGTAGCCGCAGGTTTTAAGATTCACTGAATTCGAATCTGAAGACAAAATCTTCAAGTTCAAAATGGCGAATTCAATATGGTGAACCAAAATGCAAAAAGTAGTTTCTTTCAAGGTGAAAATCGGTACTCGGAAGTCTTTTGGGTTGCTGATGACGAATTTGCGATTGAAATTCAAAAATTCCAAATGACAGATCCTAATTCAAAAAGTAGTTTCAATTTGTTTTGAGTATTCCTGAATACCGAGTTTCATCTACATGAATCTACTTTTTGCATGTTTGTCGGATATGTTGGATCCGCCATGTTGAATTCGTGATTTTTGAGTTCAAAATCGTAATCAGCAACCCAAAAAACGTTCAAGTACCGAGTTTCATTCACATCAAGCTGTTTTTTGCATTTTGGTTCACCATTTTGCATTTCTGGATTTTCAACACGGATTCGTAATTAGTGCCCCAAAAACCCTTCAAAGGAATATCAACCGTTCCAATAATTTGGTCGATTAATCCTAACTCGTCATATCTGAGCCGGTTGACCGGGAGAAACACCTAATTTTCACTAGTTCTTCATGATGCGGTTTTTTGTAAATTTTATAACCTTTTAGCAAATTGTTTTTGCTATTAAACTATAAATTTAATCTTGTTAGTCAAACTCCGGTGTTTCTATTTAACTATTAGCACTTGATAGACTTTAAATATATGTTTTTTATATTTAGCATATTTTGAAATAATTATTTTTATTATCTTTGAGATATGGACCGTTTAGTTTGAAAGTGGTGTAAGTCCATTTTCTCTTATTTCGAGAAAATTTAATGTTAACATATCTGTTAATTAAAAAATGTAAGCAAATTATATGAAGTCTGGCGATATTTCTACTGTTTTATCAATATGTAATTTGGTTATATAAATTTGTTTTAGGCGTATTTTACTAAACTGATGTATACTTACGGGCTGCAAATGGACTTACACCACTTTCAAAATTAGACAATTGTAAAAATCGTTTAATTTCAATTTTGAAAAATCAAATATCACTTAAAATATACTTGATATTAATCCAATTTTGTTTACAAATAATGACATGACATAAAATAGAAGTAGTATTTTTAATTTTAGGCGCTAATTACATTGTTAAAATTACAAGATATTGATAGTATTTACTTATGCTCTGCATGGGGCTTTATTTCTGTGTGAATTTATTTAAAATAAAATGAAATAAATATTTTCCAATTGTCATAAAATAATATTGATTGACCATTTGTTCTTACCTATATCACTATCTGATGTTAATATGAAGTTATAAATTTTATGAAAAAAATAGAATAAGTAACCGAAACTAGTAACTCTTGACACGCAATATAAAACAAATGTAAAATAACAGGCTACTGATTGGCAACCATATGCTATAAGCCACCTACCTCTGTCAATTGGACTTACACCACTTTTAAAATAAACGATCCATATATTTAAAATATATTCTGATTATATTTTTTATATACTCAAAACGGCCAAAAGTTATATATTAAAAATATATTTTACATATTATAAAAATATGTATAGTTGAAATACATATATTTCACATGTATAACTATATGTTTAGAATACTTTTTTTATATTTTAAATATATATAAATTTCCATGGGAGTATAAACGAACCTAAAAAAGCCCAGTCGGTCTGTGACAGATCATATGTGACGGTTTAAGGGTGAAAAAGCAGGAGTAACTAACTCAGTTAACAAAAAACAGTATTACAAAACTTCTAGTTGCATACCTGATCACAGTGAGATACAGATTGACCAATTTTGCAGCAAATCTGGAGAATTGATTGTCGATGCAGATACTATAGTAACCACCAAGCATGGATAGGTCTTGATAATCAGCACTGGCACGCCATTGATAAGGATGAACAATTTCACCAGCTGGATTTCTTACAGCAAAACCAGCCTTCAAATCACCACCACGAAGCACCTGTTAATTGTTAAAGAAGGTATTAATATTAATTTCACATAAATCCATTGCCCTTTCAATATGTCCAGTGTCATAAATCGTTCCAATGTTGACTTAGATCTGACACGATCTTATAGAATCTGATTTCATCTGATTTGATCCAATAAGATCAGGTCCGATCTAACACAAAATTGGAACGATTTTCAAGTAATATGCGAGCAGATCCGCTAATATTTGACAAATTCTAAAATCAGATTTGAACGATTCAATTTTCCCAAAATGGAGATCCGATCGGATCTAATTAAATCTTAATTAGATTAAATAAGATCTAATGATTTTATACCTTGATCCGAATAGAACTTACGTTGACTTTTGTAAATTCAACCCTAAATCTTTTAATATTACTAAACTCGTAATTCCATGTTTCAACATTCTATGGACGTTGTCACTACTATGCAATTGCATATAGTTTATCATTGGAATCCCTCGATACTAGTTTTTTTGTACTATTTAAACTTATAACCTAAAAGAGATCTCTGAATGTGATTTCACGAGTCGATCATTGCGTATTCGAGCAGAAAACAAAAAATCCCAGCCGAGGAATTTTCTGAGTACTTTACATGCATGCGCGCCAAGGTGCCCTCGCTTTCTGGCAACACCGCTTTCGGGCATTCAACCATCCGCGTTGGTTAGGGTATCTTAAAGGGGGGGGGG